TATATATATATATATATATATATATATATACATAAAAAAAAGATTAATGGTAAGAGTTGAATCAGACCAGGAAATAGTAGTATAAAAAGGGCTCAATACACGTGTGAAAAAAAATAAACTAAAAATAAAAAAATAACATGTCGAGCTTTTAACTAAAAATAAGGAAGTTAGCTGAGTTCGCTACCTTGCTTTCAACCTTACTGTATCAGGAGGCGATTTTTATCAATTGACCTAACAATATTGAAAGGTTGAACCCAAGGTAGCGAAATCAACTGATCCCCTAATTTTATATATATATATATTGAGCAATAAAAAGTATTAAAAATTAAAATCTTCAGACACACTGGGTTGTAGATTAATATTCTTTCGTTTTTTTTATTTATTATTATTTCATTTAGATTCCTCGACTAGTATATTAGTAGTAGTAGTAGTAGTAGTAATCTTCTAAGTATAAGAAACTACACTCGTTCGGAAAACCTTCAGTGTCTTGATTTGCAAATAAACAAGCCAATACGAAAGGTAAAAAAGGGTATAAAAAAAAGAAAGAACCAAGAACATGTACGTTAACCGAAAATAATCGTCTAGCATGCAAGTCCAAGGCCCAAAGAAAAAAAACCTGATGCGAGTAACCAAAATAACTAAATAAAGTCCTCAATACAATAAGTAGAACAGACCTATATATATATATGTATATATGACTTGATATATATATATATATATATATATATATAATTAAGAAGGAGTAAAACCTTAAATTTCCATGCCTATAATATAATTTATTTCCTCAGAAAATATATTTTTCCTGGTTCATCAGGTCACATCTCTAGTTAGAAAAGAATTAGGGTTCTTTTAATTTAAAACAAGTTTTTTCAGGGATAGTTTTAGATTGATATAAGGTGACAGGGGTTGGGAGGGGGAGGACCATAAAATGTTCTAAATTAGAAATGGAAGGTAGAGATAGGGTTGTGTTTAAATGCACCTTTAATAATTTACGTAGGTTCAAGTGTACTCAGTCAAGAGGTCAGATAATTTGACCTCTTAAATAAGTTTTTGGACAGGAAAAGGAAAAAAGAACAAAAGAAGACAAATTGTAAAACAGGGGAAGGGGGGAAATGAGGAAGAACAAAAGAGAAAGAAAGAATTAAGCAAGGGAGGGGGAAGAAGAAAGAAAGAGTTATATATATATATATATATATATATATATATATATATATAAAATAAATGAAAATTGAAATCAACTCTCAGAGGCAACAGGCTGTTTCATGCTAAGCGCAATCGTCAGGTGAGACTGAAGTGTCACATACGACACAAAACATAAAAAAATCTATCTATCTATTTATTTATCTCAGTCTCTTTATATCTATCTATCTATTTATCTCACTTGCCTCATCTATCTCTTTATACCTATCTATAAAAAACGGAATGAGGTTGTTGGTATCGATATCGACGGGAGAAGCCATTATTTATATATATATATATATATATTTTTTTTTTTATTATTTAATACTTTTTTAATATGTCTTGTAATATTAAATTTTATATACTTTATTTTTCATATATATATATATATATATATATATATATATATATATATATATATATATATATATACACACACAAGATAAGTAAAATTATCTGCACTTTCGGCATAACATCTCTTTAGAGCAGTAATCCGATTTCTCTGCTCGGAAGGTGTGTCAATGGCTGAACTTCATCGGAAGCATTTAACCCGATACGGCGCAGACGTAGGCATGAGAAGTTTCAAATTGACCGGACAAGTTGGACGGTCGTCAAACTCTAACCACTGCCGAGAAGATTTAGCACGCTCGAGAAATGGTAATGGCGAACCGGCGAGTTGACATCGATGACGTAGCATGTTCTCTGCACATTCGGATCATGACTCTTTGTTCGTCTTTGATGTACACTGCTAGTGGAGTGGCCATGTTTACACTGTAACTTGCGCGATCAAATTCAAACTTCCATCACGTGACCATAATAGTATCAACCTCCTCCTGTCTTTTCTACAAATACATTCACGGTTACTGCTCCGACGAGCTACTTTCTTGAAGGTGAAGTCAACGTTTTTACATTCTTGTCTTCAGCACCAGATTTGTCCGACTTTTATTTCCTTTCGGATTAGGCGGGCAAAGTTGTTGTCCGGTTGGAGGATAGAGAAAGCCTTTATTAAGGACTTTCTCTTACAATTTTCTAACCAGGAACTACTTTCTCTAGTTCCCAGACTGCATTAATTTAAGCGTGCTACTAGGTTGGCATCACGGTCCCACTCTTTCACTGTCGAAATGGTAAAACGTAGCCGTCTCTTCTACTTCCATAGCTTCATGTCTCGCACCTCTCGTCTGTGGAATTCCCTTCCTATTACTTGTTTCCCTGATAGCTATAATCTCCAACTATTCAAATGTAATGTCAATTGACATCTTCAGATGCCTTGATCTATTCCCTGTTCTTCTCTTCATCCTTTCCTCCATCAAACCTCTTTACCCTCGCTCCCACTCTGTAACCCCTTGCGTGCTAGTGGCATCCCACCTTGCTTGGAGTGAAATGCTTAAAAAACTATGAAGCGTGTGAATGTGTATGTATCATATATGATGACTGTTGACTCGTAAAAACGGTGGCGCTTCAGACTTTTCCTTCTCCTAAACAGGTTGACAACTGTGGCTAGAGAGGTTGGTTAATAAAAGAAAAGACAAACGAAAGAGTACCAATATAATCAGTACGATAAACATTTATTAAATATTAATTATTAACTATATGACAGAAATAAAGCACGGAGATAAACGTTTTAAGTTCGGAATTTTCGGACACGCCTGCGTCCTTCATCAACGGACAGAGGAATAAACAGAGAAATGGGAATTACTCACCGACAGATATTTTTGTAGATGGTTTATTTTTCAGTGGACGTCGTATTATTAGCAAAAACCAAATCTCTGTCTGTTACCACGATGTTTTCGAAACGTTTTATGAAAATAAAATTAAATTCAAATTTTTATCGGTATAAGTGTTCTGGTCTATTATTAGTAGTGTATGTCGTGGGGATATGAGATTGTAAACATCAATGAAGAGAGTTAAAGGCTGGGGAGAGAGAAAGGTGTCTCTCTTGTAGCAAGTTGTAGTAAAAATTGGAAGATCACGTGGTCGAGTATTGAAAGACGTAACTATGATGAAAATATTCTGTTATTAAAAGGAATAAAGAGAAAGGGAAAGAAAGAACCACACACACACACACACACACATATATATATATATATATATATATATATATATATATATATATATATATATATACGGATATAACAGCAAAATTGTCCAAATCGTGTTACAGCAAAATTGTACAATTGTTAGATTAAGCTTTGAACTGATGTAATGATTAAATATATCTTACTGGAATTCTCCGATGTTTTTATAACACTATTGAACTCTACTTTGAACAATAAAAATGTATTTAGCTCTAAGTTGAAATGATGATCCCTCTTCCTGTTGTGACCTCCTCATCCAGTTTTCCTCTTTACTGTTCCCTCTTTTTTAAACTTATTCACCTTTCTCTTGATTGTTCTTGATTGAACTTCGAAGATGGAAGCCAGAATATGAATGCCTGTACCATTACCGAAGGCCTGAATTATCTATTTCCTTCCACCACTGATCATTTGGGAAGACAGTGAATCTGGTACAAAACGATTTTAACCCTTTCTCTTTCTAGCTGAATAACTCAAAGGGGTTTTCAGTGATTCTTACGACAAATGGTATAAAGATGGCTACACGTCTTAGCTGAAAAGCTGGAAAAAAGAAACTCAATTAGTTTAGTGTTTTTTTTTAGATATTAAACATTTTATGGGATGAACGACTCTCCCATGCTGTTACACGATTTGGACAATTTTTCTGTTACACCCGGTACATTAGGGGGTCATTCTATCAGTGCTACTGT